CACATGACACTGAAATTGAAATCCAGATGAAACTGAAATCAAAACCCATGAAACTGAAATCCAAAGATGCCACAGGAAACTGAAATCGAAAAGAATCTAAACCCATTTATGAAGAACTGAAAAATGAGACCAATATGCTTTCAAAGATGCCACATGAAACTGAAATCTAAAAGAATCAAAACTCATTTACGAAGAACTAGAAAATGAAACCCATTTGCCTTCAAAGACCCCACGTGAAACTTGGTATCTTCGAAAATAATCGAAAACCATTTATGAAGAACTGAAAAAATGAAACCCATTTACCTTCAAAGAAGCCACATGAAACTGAAATAGAAAATAATCGAAACCCATTTTTGAAGAACCGAAAAATTAAACGGATTTACAAAGGAGAGTAACACATTAATGATACCGTCGTCAATTTTCGAAAATACCAATGTCGACCTTGTACTCCTTGTTCGCTCGTCGTCCGACGGAAGAGATCTGTACTCCTTGTTCGCTGAGATCTACATAAGAGAGTATCTACAAAAGGCACAGTGGATTTTTGAATGACGGAGGGTTTGGAGCGGGAGAGTTGGGAGGGAAGGAAGGAAGGAAATGTGAAATAATTGAAAAGGAAAGTGGGTTTAATTGAAGGGAAAGTGCGTTTTATTTTTTTGTTTTGTTTTGAATTTCCAGTGGCGAGAAGTTGAATTACCCATTCCAAATACCGCCAGCTAGGCATTATGGACAGCATTATGGATGACTTCATGTACCTCTAGCATTTCCCTAGGAAGTATATGCCTCCACGGACTAGGGCACTCCAAATTTGTTTGGACACTCTATAAAAAAAAAGGTTGAACCCTAACCTTGAGGGTCTCTCATTGCCCCGCCCATAGAGCATTGTGGAGAAGGTAAATCGCGAGATGTACCTCAACAGACCAAGGTACAAGTGCTGCAATACTAGTATCTACGAAGAGTCCAATCTCATACCTTGTAAGAGGTAGGAATCCAACTCTCACACTGCGACTGCTAGTTCAACTGAAACTACTTCACTCATATCATTTACATCATTGAGCTATGCCCCGTGGGCACACTTTATAATGTGTACATAGGCTGGGTGTCTCAGATGGGGACAAATTATAGTCAAAGACTTGGTAATTTCTAATGTTGTCTAAGCCGCAGTTCAACTGAAACTATTTCACTCATATCCTTTACATAATTGAGCTATGTCCCGTGGGCACAATTTATAATGTGTACATAGGCCGGATGTCTCAGATGGGGACAAATTATAGTCAAAGACTTGGTAATTTCTAATGTTGTCTATTTTGACCGTAGCAATCCTTCGCAAAATAATTAATTAACATCCGCCGACACTATATTTCTACCGTTTAATAGAATCATCTTAGTTTCAATAACAATTTAATATAAAAATTTTACACAGTTTAAAAACTTAATTGCTAAATAAATCTTTACTGTAATTGATGCTGCCATTTTCCATGATCTATCACGAATTTGATCTGAACACTCATATTATTTGATTCTTGTGAGTTTTTCATTCCCTTTGTATTCCAGTAAGATATCTTTTATTTGACGCATCCCATTTTTATTGTGAGAAATAGGAATTTATTTCGTTTTTCTTAATGATTTTTTTCATAACGATTTATCTATGTTCATATATGCATCCAGGATAGTCCATGATCGCCTTTCAATAATCCAATGCTCCAAAGAAAAAGGAAAATTTCTGGGTTATTTTCCATTCTATTTCGCTCTCTGATTTTAATTTTTTTTCAAGTTACAGTAGTTTCTATGAAAATTGATTGTGTTTATGATAAAAACTGATTAGCACTTTTAATAGCTTTAAATTGCGTATGAATTAGCTAAAAATATTCAAAATTAAGAATTTTGAGGAAAAATCATTGCATATTAAACTAATTAAAGATATATTAATAATGATAATAATACAATCTAGACTGCTAAATGCAGGGTATTAAATCTCTATATATATGAGAAATGTGCCACTTTTTCTGTTCAATTTGTGTAAAAACTGAGGCAGTTTGTCAGTTTCATAAATGTTATCCCTCTGCGGATTGATCTGTTTTCTTGCATTGTGCGTTGAGTTATTTAAACTGAATCTCATTGATGATTAGGAGTCGTATTAGCAAGGATTCTGACGGCATAGACAGATAAAACTCTGTTCTCTTGATTCATGAAGTCCACAAAAGTAAGCATGTGTGGTGCTGTAGGGTGGAAATCCAATCGATGAATGAAGTTTTTAAGTTTCGGTATTGACAAGGGAATCTCTTTGGAATATGGATCATGGATTTAGATTTATATGGAAGAATCTGATAGAAACTAGGAGATTGTTATGGATAATGGTGCTAACATTTGCTGCAGTTTTGCTTGTTCAATTTTTCGAACTTCCTCGAGATAATGTTTTATCATCTCTCCTTTCTGCTGGAAAAGTTGCATTTTTTGGTAAAAGGAACTTCCCAGATAAAGGATTATCTTCGAGTCTTGGAACTGTTGGAAACATCACAAATACATACACGATTCAGGAGATACCAAACAGTGCTAAGATCTTGAACTTGACGAAAGAAGAGTATGAAGGAAATGAAGGTGAAGACGAGAGAACCAAGTTTGATTGTGTTCTCAAGAAGAATGGTAGTATTCACATAGAGTTCACTTCTGCAAATAATGGAAGTTCGCTTCGGGACTCAGGGAAATGTAGAGATTTTGAGCGTGCAATTTCCTCAAGAAATGCCACTGAGAAGAATGATACTTCACCAGGGAATATCCAAACACAACACGTTCCTTCAACACCTGGCCAAAATGAGAGCTCGGGTTGTGCTTCTGAATGCCTTCCAGCATTTTCATCACTTAGTCCAGTCTCTCCAACAAAATTGGATTCAGTAACTCCTGTGATATCAGTGGAAACTAACCGTTCTCCAGTGCTCAAAATGCCACTGGAGAGTAATATAAGCATTGAAAACAATAATTCTTCTATGGCACCTTCTCGAACCCATGGAAAGTCCGAAATGCCAAAATTAGCCCCCGTGACAATATCTAAGATGAATGTGTTGCTGCTGCACAGTCATTCATTTTCTAATTCAACAGTATGTGAAGGACCATAACTTTATGTTGTAATCTAGTTAATGGGAACTTAAAATTTCATGTACTTTCTCTCATTTCGTTACTTATTTTTCTTCAGCCACCACAACAGATTTCAACCGGCGATAAGGAACTACTACATGCAAAACTTGAGATAGAAAATGCTTCATCTATAGATGCTGATTCAGGACTTTATGGACCTGTTTATCGAAATATTTTCATGTTCAAAAGGTATTTTTACTGGCATTTAAGCTCACCCCTTTCTTATATGAATTTTACTGACATTGTTCATATGGAGTATATGTTCCTTCTTAGTTACATTGACTTATACATACAGGAGCTACGATTTGATGGATAAGATGCTGAGAGTTTATATTTACAAGGAAGGAGAGAAACCAATCTTCCATGAATCAATACTTGAGGGAATATATGCATCTGAAGGCTGGTTCTTGAAGCTTTTAGAATCAAACAAACAATTTGTAACTGAAGATCCCACAGAAGCTCACTTATTTTACATACCTTTTAGTTCACGACTGCTGGAGTTATCACTTTATGTGCGCAATTCACACAGTCGCAAAAACCTGATAGATTACATGCAGAACTATGTCGAAATGCTTATTCAGAAATATTCTTTCTGGAACAGGACCAACGGAGAAGACCATTTTCTGGCTGCTTGTCATGATTGGGTATGGTACTTTTAATAATGCTTTCAAATAGTCGGTGTGCCAATATGCTAATCTCATTTACGATCTTAATTATGGGGCTGATAATAAGCTTGAAAACTTGATAATGTCTAATGATCAACTCTGCTGGAAGATAAATAATCCCAAGTTTGAACAAATATTTAAGCTGATAAACGTATCATTCCCTACTTGTAGAGGTAACAAGCCCCAAATATCGTGTATAAATAACCTACTCGAGGTCAACTCGAACTCAGCTAGTTAAAAGGTAGCTCAAGAACGGCCTGAAACAATAAATGAGTCGAAATTGAGTACTTCTTTGAACTTGTTTATAATAACAAATCTAGTTTGAGCAACTTACTCCCCTCCTTGAGTACTCAAAATTTGAATTGCCATATGCTATTCTACATTATAACTTAAATTTATAGATCATTTTTTTGGAATTGGGAAAACTTAGGTCTATGACTGACTAGAATTTAGAAGTTCCTCAGGCTCCTGCTGAAACAAGAGGACGTATGCTAAGTTGCCTAAGAGCACTGTGCAATGCTGATATCAAAACAGGCTTTGTCATTGGTAAGGATGTTTCTCTTCCTACCGTAAATGTTCAATCAGCCAAGAATCCTCTCAAAGATATTGGAGGCGAACCTGCCATCAAAAGGCCAATCCTCGCCTTTTTTGCCGGTTACATGCATGGTCGAGCCCGTCCAATTCTCCTGAAACATTGGGGAAAAGATCCCGACATGAGAATTTTCAATCGACTGCCTCATGTCAAGGGAAACAAGAATTACATTGAGTATATGAAGAGCAGCAAGTATTGCATTTGCGCCCGAGGTTTTGCAGTGCACAGTCCCAGAGTTGTGGAATCCATTTTCTTCGAATGTGTCCCGGTAATTATATCCGACAACTACGTACCTCCATTTTTCGAGGTTTTGAACTGGGAATCCTTTGCTGTTTTCATCTTAGAAAAGGATATTCCTAATTTGAAGAACATACTGCTATCTATTCCTGACGAGAAATATCTCGAGATGCTAAATGGCGTGAAACAGGTACAGAAACATTTTTTTTGGCATGCTGAGCCTGTAAAGTATGATTTGTTTCACATGACTCTTCACTCAGTTTGGTACAACAGAGTTTTCAGGTTAAATTTGGCATAGGCTGTATCCAGAGTTAAATGCTAACATGTAGTCATTTA